GCAATGAGCTGCAGCCTGAAGAAGCCCGGCCGAGCAGGTTAAACACCTGCTCGCCCTCTGGAGACACCTGTCTCCTGCAGGCAGTGTTTGTAATCAGAGGGACCTGGAGGACAGGGTCAACGGGCTGAGCGCAGGGGTCCATCAAGGTCTAAAGAATCACTAATTAGAGCTGGGGGAGCAGGGAGGAGGAGGCCAAAGAGGAGAAGAGAAAGGAAGAAGACGTAGGAGGAGAATAAATGTGGCTTGTGTTTGTCAAGCACTTCAAGAGCAAGCACTGTTCAGAATGCTTTGCTTATGTCAGTGCGTTTAATCTTTAGGGCAATCCACTAAGAAAAGTATTATCATTCTCTTCCTCTTTTAGGTAAGGCAACTAAGTGAGTGGGTCCGGACCTGGAACCCAGGAAGTCTGGCTCCTGGGCTGACTGTGGGGCGGGACCCAGGCCCAGGTCGCAGAGAGGAGCACGGAGCCATCTGAACAGGGCCGGGTTCGTCTGCCGGCTCCTCTGCTTCCTCTTGGTCTGGGAGAACCTCCAGTCCCTGCAGTGAGTTTCTCTACCGTAAATCACACTGAGTTCACAGAGCAGTAGCGACGGAGGTGTGGGCTACATCAGCACGGTGTCAGAAGATAAAGCAGGGGGAGCTTTAGCTTTTGGTCTCATGTAATCCCTGCAAGACCCCTCTAAGTCTGATCCCCATTTCCCAAATCTGAAAACTGAGGTCCCAAGAGTTTCCTTATGCCTCCTAAGGGGTGGGGACTGGAAGAACAGGATCACAAGAAAACAGAGAGGAGGAAGACGGAAGGGAGGAGCAGCAAGCTCTCAGGGGGACAGAAAGAGGGGAAGCAGCAGGAGAGTGGGGCAAGGTGTGCGGTGCTCTAAAGACATCCAGGGAGGCTTCAGGGTTTCCAGAATTAATCCACGGGACAGTCTCCCGGGAGTTCTCTTTTGGTTCAAACTTGATCCCTTTGTAACACACGAGTTTGGACTCCCACCAAATCCCTTAGGGAATTATTCACCCCTTAAGCTCAAAATCTCAGCGCACGAATGAGGCACGGGTACAGCTAAGGAAAGTTCCTCATCATATTGCACATATAACATGGCCTCTCCTTCCTGCCTTAAGCCTCGGATCAATGTTATATAAACTTCCTTATCCAACATGTCATTGTAGAAGCATTAAACAAAAAGTTAGACCAAAAGTCATACCACCATTCAGTGCTTTTCTGAGAAAATTTTATTTACAACTTAGTCTGCAATTTAAGTTCAACAGGGCAGAGTCTTTGTAATCATAAATACAATCATTTAATGTATCCCTGATAGAATTTATGCACATATCTGTACGCATTAGTTTTTTACTGCTGCTGCAACAACTTTGGAGACAGTGTCTTACTGTTCTGGAGGTAATAAATCTGAATAAACACAGATGTCAGCATGACTTGGTTCCTTCTGGAGACACCCTAAATGGGACCCAAAGAAAAGGAACTATAAAGAGAAGAAAAGGCCTGGGATGGTGAATGACTCTACAGTGAGTTCTTTGCCTTTTTCAGCTTGAGGCCACCTGCTTTCTGTGGCCAATGCCTCCTTCCGCCATCTTTAAATCTAGCTGGGTGTGGTGGCACATGCCTGTGATCCCAGCACTCAGGAGGCTGAGGCAGGAGGATCATAGTGAATCTGAGGCTAGCTTGGGCTACATAGTGAGTTCAAGGCCGCCCTGGACTGCATATGGGGTCCCTGTCTCAAAAAACAAATGAAAAATCTAATTGCTCGTCTCTTCCTCCTCTCTCTCTCTCTCTCTCTCTCTCTCCCCACAATCTCTGCCTGTGCCTTTTCTATCACTGCAGCTGATACATCTTCTCGAACTCTCCTTCCTCCTCTCTCAAGGACCCCCATGGTTATATTGGGTCCACCTGGATTACCCAAAATAAGCTCCCTTCTTGAGATCTGTAATGACATCTTCAAAGTCCTTTTATTCGCAGGTTCTGAGGATTAATGGACATCTTTGTGGTGTGCATTATTCTGTCTACCCAAAATGCTACCTAATTTTTCTAGCTTATTAACTTTTTTTTTTGAGACAGTGTCTCACTATGTAGTTCAAGCTGGCCTTCAACTGACTATGTATCCCAGGCTGGCCTCAAATTCACAGCAATCCTCCTGCCTCAGTCTCCCAAGTACAGGATTACAGATGGGCACCACCAAGCCCAGCCAAATTTCTATACTTAATAAGCTGGGCATGGTGGCACACGTCTATAATCCCAGCACTGTAATCCCAGCAATCTGGAAATTGAGACCAGAGAATTTTGGTGAGTTTGAGGCCAGCCTGGGCTATATGGTGACTTCAATTCAAGCCTGAACTACATAGCAAAATCTTATCTCAAAACAAACAAAAATAAGTATATAAATTTGAGACCCAGTAGATTTAGCAGTAAATACTGTCTCATCACCAGCACCTGCCAGAGGAATCTAAAACCTGACATAAGAGCCCAGGGCAGGTCACTAAAGGCCACCCTTGCTCCAGGCTTCAAAGAGCTCTGATAAACTGCCTGACGTGGCCCTCTCCTCTCCCTCTTCACCATTGGAAGTTAGAGGCAGTCCTTCTAGACTTTGATGTGGATATTTCAACATAGATTATAATAAAAGATGTTGGTTTTGAACCCTTTACACATTGCTGGAAACCTAGTTTTTACCATACACTTCAAAAGAGCTATCGGGCATCCCGTGGCCAATTCCAATGACCGTGGTTGCATTTGGGTGGCTTCCTTTATCAAGGGTAACCTTTGTCAGGGACTCTTGGCCTCAGAAATCGAACCTTCGGATGGCTGAAGCATGACTTCCGGACTGCAGCATGAAAGTGAAGTTCATACAAAATGTGAGGTATCTACGACAAAGGAGGGGGCTGGAGGTACTCTGGGTCCTTTGGGAAAAGCTCAGCTCGAAGAGGCCCCCACAGGTGAGGTGCCTGGGCGCTGGGCGGGGCAGGGGTGCGTAGGAGGAGCCCACAGTTGCTCCGAGCGTCGAGGGTTCTGCACTGGAACTGTCGCACTCAGAAGCGCTTCCACCCGGTCCAAAACCGAAGTCTCCTCCATCTCCTCACCCACGCTTACCTCCTTCAGCCCGGCTTCTCCTACAGTTTTCAGCATAACCCTGAGAAGATGGAAACCATGACTGTTCTGCTGCAGTAGAGTATTTCACACCAAACTGCAGATTTAGCTTAAGTGAAAACACTACTAGTTTGTAAAGATTCACACTGTCCGCATGGCTGGATTAAAACCAAGAGAGGATTTAACCAACAGGCAATGTTATTTTTCTACCCCACATAATATCTGATGCTAAACTAAGTCTAATTTAGGCATGAAAATTCTGATTTTGCAGTTGGTGACTACTTTCATTTTTGAAGATAAACATCAGATGCTTTGAAAATTATTTTTCCCAGGGCCACCTATCTGTGACCTCAGCACTCCGGGAGGCTGAGGCAGGATGATAGTTAAGTTTAAGCCTAGCCCGGGCAACTTAGTGACTTAGAGAGGCCCTTTCTCAAAATTTAAGATAAAAATTTAAAAATTTTTAAAGGCTGGGGGTGTAGTTCAGTACAAAGGCCCTGGGTTCGATCCCCAGCCCCCTCCCACCATCTTTCTTTTGTTGCCTGTTTTACTAGTGTTGAGGACATAAACTGTTTCTACCGGTGTTCGCGGGGTGGAACTTAGAAGGAACTCATTTTTATTCATTATGCAGTCGGTGTCAAACAGTCCAAAGTGACAGGCAAGCGGGCTCCCTGCTCTGGTCCAGTTCTGGCTGAGTACTCGCAGTTACCAGCTAGATAACTGAGTCAGGAGTCTTAACACCTCGATTCCTCTGTAAAGACCTAAAGGCATATGAGTGACAATGTGCCTTGCATGTAAAAAGCACTCGGTGCATTTCAGCTATTAATGCTATCTTTCTCCATTCCTGCCATTCCTCACCATCCAGCCAAACACCTTTAAATACCTGCACCGGGCTAGTCCCTGGGCAACATCCTGAGGAAAGACGGGAAAGCAGTCCTGACCTCATGGTCCACAATCTAGAAGGAAACTGCTTTCCAAATAGGCACAACAGTGTCACAAGTCACTAATTTCAATGGGAAGAGGCTGTCACCATGGAGCTGGGGTAAAAATGAGTGCCAATTCTGAAGACTCATAGATGTCTGTGAAATTTCTTTAAAAACAATCTACTTGGCTTCCTTAGCATATTTTTGTCTACTCCAACAGCAACACCTCTCACCCAAATGTGCAATCCATACTATACAGAATGATTTTTAGGGAACACTGGGAGATACTTTTTGAAAAAATTATCCCAGGAGGTGATTTTTTTTGACACATCCAATAAAGGAAAAAAAACTGGCCAACAGCAATTCTGATACCCTTGACACCTTGAGCACAAAAACGATGGGCGTGGCATCAGCAGAGGTGTGGTGTATGTGAATGTGGCCACGTTTGGGAATTAGTTCAGGCTCTCAGCATTAAGTGGAAAACTGACTTCTCCCAGCATCGACAGTCACCCCACTGCGTCCTGTGCGGTACTCTGTCCACCTGCTCATCGCGTATTTTCCTCACCACCTTCTCCCTCAACCCCAACTCTTTCCCTCTCATCTGTGATCTCAACCAACACCTTCCCCAAAGGCCTTCACCACCTCCCTTGTGAAAACCTCCTGCCCTCGGGAGTCTCCCTGGTTACCCACTGCCATTTGCCCACTGATTTTTCAACTTTCTCCCAGCCAGTTCAAGTTCTTTCAATAAATTATGGTACTAAATTTGTGATAGCCCCAAGGGTCACAAAATCCTATCAACCTACTAACTTTTTCACGTATGTAGATACAAAACACCTAATGGTCCCAGTCTTCCTCCACACCCCGCCTCTGCACACTGGCAACAGGTGGTTTAAACTGTAATCTCCCTCCCTTTCCATACCTGAAACCCACTTTTCTTCTGCATAACCCACCCTAGTAGAGGAGGGGAGGCCACATACACAAAGTGGATATTAAAATTAGTTTATTTTTCTACTTAACTTTCAATAAATGAGAAGAAACACAGTAGTCTGTCTCATATAGAACATTTATAATACATAACAATCCATAAAGCCTCATGGTGAGGTAGGAACAGCTTTGGAAAATAACATAGTCATAAAACATACAAAAAGGTAAACTGTTGCAGCACTAAGACATTTTATCTGCATCTGCGTTTAATGAGATGATAACTGCATTTAACTGTGCCAGGTCTGACCCAAAGGCAGGCAACAGCAGACACAAGAACAACACAATATGGAAGTTTCATAAAGAATCACAGAAGACACCGATACATTTCATTGTGCTGTTTCAAGGCAGAACCATAGCATGGCATTTTGTGTCTTTTTATATATAACTACATAGTCATTGTATGTTACATTCCCTTCGGCATCTTTTGGCCAAAGTCACTGAACCATAAAATTTTTGGTTTAAAAATTTAAATTGAATAACATACAAAAGGCTTTTGTGCCGGTGAAAATGACTGCTCAATATTCCAGAACTTGTTAGTAGAACAAAATAGCATTGCCATATTATCGGTAGAGCTACATCAAAATAGTGCTATTACAATTGCCATTTCAGAACACGGTAAAACACTGTATGACAGTTTCAACTTAAAAAACAAACAAAGAAACCCTTCCACCTTCCCAAGAGTTTTAACACTGTTTTGTCAACTTAACTGAAAGTCAGTATTAAAATAAATTATTTTTATATTGTAGAATTACTCTGCATACTTGTATATGTGTGAACATCTTAAGACAGCAGGTTAATGACATGTTCATCATTCAAACATTTGCTTTATAAAGTAAAAATCTTCAACTCAATACCAGTTAACCTACTAAATACTTCACAGTAGGTTCCATAGGTTCTTTCCCCTCAAAACTTTCCCAAATTCAAAACTGAAGATAGCAACAAGACACAAACATGTTAACAGTCTTCTGAGTACTGTGATTTTTTTTCCAAGGTGTGCTTGGAAATTTTCCCTATACAACTTACACACCTTTGGATAAAGTTACTCAGCAATTTAGTTTCAGCAAAATGAAGATTTTGTCAGGTTCTAGCCCATATTTTTGCAATATAGTAATCTCCAGGAAGAAAAAAATGATCACACAAGCGAAAAGCTGACAATGGAGAATTAAGTTTCCCATCAGTGAGGCTGCACTTGGCTTGAAGTTTTCCGGTTGGTGTTGATTCAATCACATGCAGCACCTCCTTCTCACTAAATGTAGACAATGGACAAGTTGTCTCAACACACATTCTACACTGCCCTTGCTCAAACATACGAGCCGGGAGGAGGGGTGCAACCCTAAAACTGATGCAGCGTATGGAACAGCATATTTAAGTAATGGGCATAAGTCTCCTAATGATGAGGGGTATTTCTCTCATAAGCTATTTTGGAGAAGTCACGTAAATCCCACAATATTTAAATATAAAAACATGTTCTTTCTTTAAGGATAATGCTAATATAGCTAAACATGGGTTAGAAAGTGCATTGTAAAGAAATAAATAATTGCTAAAACTCAAAAGGTTAAGTCAGTGCCCACTGATTCTGCTATGACAAAGTCTTTCGAAAAAAAGAAAATCCTGCGGTACCCGTGTGACAGATCAGCTACTCAGAAAGTATGAAAAGTGAAGTAACTAAATCTAAAGTCTCTACCTTCAAAGCACTTTTGAAAAATAAGCCATAGCCCTTACTCCACGCTCATCCTTCTCCAACACCCTCACCTGAGTGACATCTTCACCCCCAGGCGGCGCAGCACCCTTCCCACAGACCAGAGAGCATTTGTACAGAAAACCCACCGAGGGCACCGCATCTTACCACTTACCCTGGTGCATGGTTGCCGAGATGTTTACATGACAGACTGTTCTTAGATTCTACTGAAGTGTTCTGCGACGTGTTAAGCCAGCGGTGTACACGACACAGTACAATTTGCAGCTTTCTCTCCTTCACCCAGGTACATTCTTCCACTTCAGGTTTAAAACAAACAAACAAACAAACAAACAAACAAACAAACCCAACCTTTTTTGCAAAATTCAAAGTAACTACTAGTTAAAGAGCTGAATTACACAATATCAGATATGAGCATTACAAGATTAAGATGTATTGCAAATTGGCAGGTTACGGTTTTGGCCCATTATAGTAAATGTGAATTCACAAACTATGTTCTTAAATTACCTCATTGTCACTGGAAAAAAAAAAGTGAGCTGTTCTTAAATAGGCCCATTGCCAGCAACAGGCTTAGAGCAGGGAAAGAACACACCATCTCTACCACAAAAGATTACCCCTTTTCAAAGTTACTGTCATATCCCAATACTTTTATCTTAAGACCTATTAAGCAATGAATTACTTCAAATCCCAAAAAGTAGCCATCCCAAAAGTCCTCAGTTATAAAAGTTACTGAAGTAGTCAGAATACCTTGTTTCTAGAAAAATAGAGCTATACATAACTGATATTAGTACTCATTCTTTTGAAGACAAAATCTACATTTTCTTTACAAAGCGTAACTCTTCTCAAGAAAAATATAACTTAACACCCTTAAATATTTGTGTTGGATCCGAAATCTACAGCAATAACGAAATAGCCAAAAAAACTTTTTTGGGTGGATATTGTGACATCCTACAAGATTAGCCCCTGGAGGAACTAAGCAATGTCAAGACACGATGACTTCCAAATCTTCATCTTTTCAAGTTATTTTGCTAAGAATTTAATATGCAAATTGATTAGCCATCTGATTTTCTTCTCTCAAGTCCGGGGCTCTGCAACACACAAGCACCGCTGGTTGTGCTCAAAGCTGTTTGAATCCATTATTACTACAAAAATGACTAAGGTTTTTTAACAATGCAATTTGAAAGGTTAATAGCTTGCATTTTATTTTGTGAGTACACTTTCAGCTCAATGTTTCTAAAACCAGTCTCTGAAAGAAGTAATGCTGGTGAATGTGTCCATGTTTCAGACAAACTTTGGTAAAACAAGATGAACTGAAATTCTCAATATTTAGAGATGCGTTCCAAATGTTAATATATACTAATTTCAACATTTCGCTGGTGAACGCTCTTGCTCTTACCCCCTTCATGCCCTACTATGTGTAAACTGTAATTGTTTGTTAATTATCTCACTGCTTATTACTCAGCAACACAGAACAGAGTAGTAACTGATCTTACTTCCTGCTAATACTCATGAGTCACTCGCAAAATATGGTGCCATTATGCTATGTAATGATATCAAAGGGCAAGTAAACATTCCTTAAAACGTCAAAGGAAACAAATGTGCTGATTTCAAAGGTCTAGCAATTATAATTCTAACAAAATACAACAATGGGGGAAAGAAAACCAGAGAAATTCCAGTAACAATTTTATTTATCCCCCTAATTTTTGTCATGAGAAAACTGGAAATCAAAAGTCATTGTTATATAAGGTTTATACTTTCAATAAAAATGTAACATAGTGTTCAAACTGGCTTTCAAAAGTTGTTACAGCATGGCTGTGCTGTGTGCTAATAATCACAAAGCTGTAATATAGAACTCTGTTATGCAGTCCCATTATGTTCTTACAAAAATAGAATTAAATGTGACCAGACAAGGACTTCCATTACACTGCTTGGCAAACTCAGAATTGCAATGGAGTCTTTTTCCTCTTGCAGTTTAAAGCAAAAAAAGTCAAACACCACCTCTTTTTTTCAAGACTCACAAAGATGATTCGGGTTTGTTTGGCACTTTTTTAACTTCTACCACCACTGCAGGGCTGTTCTCACTTTTAGTCCTTTTGGGCTTCTTCTCCAGATTGTCGCTAAGTTCTAAACAAGAAATGCTAACTGAAGGGACCTTTTCTGAATCCTTGCCAGAGAGGGCTGGCGGTCGCGTCCCGCAACACTGCTTCAAGGCACACTGAGTTCGGCAGGCGAGTTCGCACGGGACCAAGCTCGATTTGGAGCCTACGCTAGCAAATTCGGGCTGAATGGTGGTCGCGTGAATTCCGTGGTTATGGAAAACGTCCTTAATGGTTTTAGCCACCTGCATGTAGGAGGTTGGGTCTTCACATTTTATGTGAGCAGTGGCGATGATTCTGCTGCCAGCAAGCTGCCAAACATGCAGTTCATGAACTTCCTCGACCCCTTCAACATCTCGAAGTTCTTTTATCAAATTTCTGATATCAATTTGTTTAGGAACAGTTTGTAGAAGAATAAGAGCAGATTCCTTAAGCAATGGGTAAGTTGTGTAAAAAAGTATACAAACCATGACAACACAAAGGCTTGGGTCTAAATACAGCACCCAGCAAGGCCCAGCCCCAGAAACTTCTGGGTGCGATTTGTTCATCAGTTCTACAAATGTTTTGCAGGGGTCAGAGAAACATGGGTTCACACAGACATCCCCTTCAGGACAACCTTTCCAGTAAACATAAAAGAGAATGGCATTGACCACCACAATCACAGACCCCATGGCGTCTCCAAGCACATGCAGAAACACGCCTCGCATGTTGAGCTGCCCCGCTGCATCGTCCTCCTTCGAGTCCAGGTGCTCAGGCTCGCGGATCAGATTCCCGTTCACCTGTAGTTCCACGGCATCTTCACTCCTGGGTTTTCCGGGTTCTAAAAAGAAACAGAAACTGTTTATCAAATCATCTCAAGTGTTTCTATAAACATTCCCCTCTAATTCCTCTAAGCGGTGGGGAAGGTGCAAACCTGTTCCTAGAGCAAGCACACCACAAGTGCGTGGAGCCCTTGAACATGAACTGACGCCCTGGGAGCGAGCCAGGACCTGGCAGCAAGGCCTGAATGAAGTCATTACGATACTGCTCGGCCCCTCCGCGCCTCCCCCGCACCTCCTCCGCTCCCAGAGTGTGCCTTCTCCCCCGACAGGGGCCCGCGTGCACCCTGCTGGGTTTCTGGGCATTCCCAAGACTATTAGGAAAGCTGCAACTAAATGAGGGCTACCCTAAAACCTTTCAAGTCCAAAGCGTTGGTCTTTTAAAGGAATTAAACACCAGAGCAGCTTAATTTTCTTTGGAGTAACACGGTGCCACATGGAATGAGAAGAAAGTATCAATTAAACCTTTTCAACACACAACAGCAACTTCGATCGTAGCCTGCACTTGGAAAGGAAAACTGGCTCTGTAGCATGACACAAGTAAGTAAATATAAATGGAAAACAGTAGAAGGAAATACACCAAATTGTTAATATCTTTAAACATGGAGCAGTGGTCTATTCTTTCTCATTTTTTTCAACATTTTCCAAATTTCTTTCAAGAACATGTGTTTAAAAGGAAAAGTTTCCTTTAAAAATGTAAGATAATGCCCAGCATGGTGGCACATGCCTACAATTCCAGCACCCTGCGAGGCTGAGGCAGGAAGATCGCAAGTTCTAGCCCAGCGGAGACAACTTCGTGATTCTGTGACACCCTGTCTCACGGCAAAAAAAAAAAAAATAAGCAAATAAAAGCTGGCTGGGGATGCGGCCCGATGGTAGCAGGCCCTGGCTTTAATCCTCAGTACTGCAGAACAAGATAACTCCATCACAGCCACTTATTTTAGTACCAAAGTCCTAAGCGAAGTAAATGTTAAACATGCCCAGTCAGGTTCTAAAGCCTGTGATTTTCAGGATTAGGGGCCAATTAACTGCAACATACACCGCCGTTCATAAACGAAACCTTTAACCAGGATTTATACGCGCCGAGCGCATCATTATCAAAGTCCTTCAATAGGCCTAAGTACCACTTGGGCCAAGCGAGGTTTCCCACACCCAACAACTAGTGAGTTGGGAAAATGTGGGGGTTTCCTGTTTCCCAGGAGGGCGAAGGAACTGAATTAGGAAGCACGGGTGATGCTCTGGGGACCCTGACCGGAAAAGTCCCTAGTGACAGCCGAGCGCACTGGGGCGGTGCGCAGCGGGATGACAGTGGCCCGTGCACCCGGCCCGACCGCGGACCCGCGCCCGCCTACCTGCCGCGTCCAGCTTCAGCCCGTTGGAGTTGCTGCTGTTGGCCACCAGGGTGTTGG